CTCCCCTCCTCCGCCGCCGCCTCCTCCACCTCCTCCTGCTCCTGCCGCCGCCGCCGCCGCTGCCGCCGGCGGCCCCGGGGCCGACCAACCCCGGCGCAACCTTTAGCCGGAGACGGACCTCTCCCTGGATCCTGTAGCCGGCGGGCGGCCGCGCGCCCTCGCCCCGACACCCCCAAACGCCATGTCACGGCCCCCAGCCCTCCGCACGCCCCGACCCCCGCACCCTCAGGCACTAGGATCCACAAGGAATTTTTTTTTTTTTAAAGATTCCAACCTCTCCCACCTCCTTCCCCCCCACTCCCCGATTTAAAAAAAAAAAAAAAAACCGGCATCCACACTACTCCCCTCCTCCCGTCTCTTGCCCCCTCCCCCCAGCAACCCGGAGTGAGGAGGGGGAGGGGGAGGGAAAAGGGAAAAAAGCCCGATCTCAAGGAAAAAAAGGGGGGGGGGTGAGAGAAAGAAAGAAAAAGAGAGAGAGAATAGAAAGGGCACGGGGCTGATCATCACCAACATGGCTGCCTCAGCATAGACCTAAACGAGGAGTAACCCGGGCTGTGTCTTTGTCAGTTTCACCTCTGTAACCCTAAACTAATGCAGAAAACAACGGAGGAGGCTGCGGAGGGGAAAGAGGAGAGGGAGGGCGAGAAAATGGCACGAGAGGAGGTGGAGAAGGGATGACTTACGTGAGGGAAGGCGCTTGGGCTGCTCCTGCTTCCTCCTGGGCATTTTCCCCCTTTTCTCACATTCTCCTCCTTGGTTAATGTGAGATCAAATAAACCCCCGTGGGGGCAGAGAGGCAGACACTGGCAGGAGCGGGGAGGTAGTTGGGGGGCGGGCGGGCGGGCAGGGGGAAACCCCTTCTCTCCGGTGTGTGCAATGGGTTGAAGCTTGTTTCCTGGAGCCAGATGAGGGGTTCTCTTCTTTTCTTTCCCTTCTTTTTTTCCTTTTTTTTTTTTTTTTTTTGTGCAATGGGTTGAAGCTTGTTTCCTGGAGCCAGATGAGGGGTTCTCTTCTTTTCTTTCCCTTCTTTTTTTCCTTTTTTTTTTTTTTTTAATTTTTGGTCGTGCACCTGGCTTGTTCCCGAGCGTAATATTCTTCAATGGAAACGGATCTAATAGGTGTGAGTGTGTGTGTGTCCTATGCTCGCGTGTGTGATGGGAGGTATAAATAAATGAGTGCCGGTGCGGCGGTGTCTATGGCCGCGCTCTGTGTCTCCGAGCCCCTAACACTAATGTCGGGATCAAAGGGCAGCGGCGGCGGCGGTACAGCTCACAGCTCGCTCTCTCGCTCGCTCTCTCTCTCTTTCTCGCTCTCTCTCTCCTCTCGCGCTCTCTCTCTCTCTGTCACACACACACACTCACACACACAGAGGCACAGACTGAGGGAAAGAGCGAGAGCTAGACACACACACACACACACACACACACACACACACACACACGCAGAGCAAAGAGGAAGGTGCCCTAAGGCTCCCAGGGCGGACTCAGCCTGGGATTTGCAACCGCTCGGTCTGGAAAGAATGGGGGGCGCGCGTGCGGGGGTGGGATGGAGTTCTTCGAATTTATCCCGCTATTCGCCAAATCTAGGGGGAAAAAAGTTTTCCCCACTCTTTAAACAACGATTAGTCCATTACTCTGGCTCATTTTTTTTTTTTAAAGAAAACAGATTTTTCTCTTAACTTTCTTTTGTTTATTAAACTACATTTTGTTCTGTATAAAATTCTTCAGGCTTTTTCACTGCAAGAATTACTCTCTCACCCCATCACCTTAAGTTTGTGGAGGTTACAGTTTCCCACACACTCTTCCAAAAACGTTCCAATAAAAATAATTAAAAAAAAAATTAAAAGATAGCATATGGTGAAATCGATAACGAGGTTAATGGAATAAGTGCCCAGTTTTGGAATGTTCAGTGGAGTTAAAACTGAAACACGCTGCCGAAATGAAAATTACATCCCCTTGACGAAGGGGGAAAAAAATGAGATTCGGTCACCCCGGTGGTTGATTTAACTGCTACATGATACTCCTACAGTGCACAGAGAGATCTTGACTTCTGAAATTTACTTTTTTTTGCTACTGTAGTGCAGGTATGTGAAGCTACCCTGAAGCAATTCTAGTTTGCATTATAAACCCAAATATAGCAGTTTTCATCAACTGATACATACTTTCATTACTTTACAAATCACACATCTGTCTTCAAAGAGAGACATAAAGGAGAAAAATAGAAAAGGATGGGTCTCACTCTAGCACAAAAGGTACTTGGTGAAAGAGGACTGTTCTCTTTGTGACTTGCAGTCATTTGGATAAAAGTTCACTCAGAGGTTGTTAATGATTTAAACTCCAAAACCTGCTACTATAATTGAAGTAAAAATGGTCTGAAGAAGAGTTGTTTCATAAAACTCTCTTTGTAAGAGGAAACTTTGAACTTAGCAGAATACATTATATGTCATGAGTCAGATGTAGCTAAAAAATAAAAAGGTGAATTATTTAACTACATCTTCCGTTTTTAGCTTTTTAAAAACTCTGACTCATCATCTTATTATGTTAAATATTTTCTTACCAATTTTGAAATAGACTTTTCATCAAAGAAGGTGGAGGCATGGTGGAGATACAGAATGTTAAAATGACACTGTAAGCTTACACAGATAGCTAATGCCTTTTGGAGGTTCTAGGCTAATTCTTACAACTTGAGTGGTGTTAACAACAGCCATGGTGGATAAATCCCTACTTTCCCCTTAAAAATAACAATAAGTCTTTATATTGCATACTTTTGTTAGAGAAGCTTAAAGAGTGTTACATCTCCCATAAAATGTTTTCCATTGATAATGAAATATCAGGATGAAACCCTCTCTGCCAACTCCCAGCAAGATCCAGCTTCGGTGTGTGACAGGTAATGCTATCTGAAGCAGGTTTTGAAACACCTGCTTGAATTCAATCTAAAACCAAAACAGAGAGCAGTCAAGTTTAAAATGGAGCATCATTCTCAAACCAATTCTTCCCAGAGTGTTGGCTTAAGTCAACCGGTTATCTAAGTTTCCCCGGGGTTATAATTTGAAATGGAACGATTGTCCAACTCAAATCAAACTCAGCTTACCATGACTTTGACTATTGTCAGTAGCATTGGACTTGAAATTAATATATGAATGATAAGTCAGAGCCCATCCATTCCAAGTAGACTCATTGCCCTGAGTAGGCAGGATCTTTAAACCTAACACAGGGCAAACAGAACTGTCACAGCACTCTATCACTGCACACTCTGAAGTTTTGGCTGGGATTTGAAGGACAATTACTCTGCATAGATTCACCACCACTGTTTTCCTGAATTGCTATGACTCTTTACAATGCTTAGTACACTATAATCGAAGACACACTTTAGGCCTTTCCTCAAAGTAGAGTACATTTCCTGCGGCCTTTTAAAGGCATGCAGGCAAACGCTGTCAACGTTTAATTATAAAGGTATTCTATCAACAGCCAGAAGCATTTTTAATTGAATTTATTCATACCTCTACCACTTTCCAAAAATTACTTGAAGTAGTACACAACAATAGAAAATGGAAATAAGGACAGAACAATTTCTGTTTAAATCTCAGCGTGGTATCTGTCTGCTACAAACCACTCTTCAAGGGCACTGGCATCTCACTCTCAATGGCTATATGTTCGGAGAACACAAACTAATTTTAATGTTAGGCCAATCTACAATATGAGGATGATAAATAGCTGGAAGTTGCTACAATGGATTTCAAAATCAAATGAATAAATGATTCTGGGAATGCCTGCCTTTTGGATGCACATAGCCATGAACCTTTAACTTGGATTATTGTTGACCACGGTCATTACATTGGAATATTCCACTTGGTTCACCCCCACAGTCCAAGCTTTTAAAAGAATATTTTATTGGGGCGTCTGGGCGGCTCAGTCAGTTAAGTGTCTGCCTTTGGCTCAGGTCATGATCCCAGGGTCCTGGGATCGAGCCCCGCATCAGGCTCCCTGCTTCTCCCTCTCCCACTCCCCCTGCTTGTGCTCTCTCTCTGACAAATAGATAGATAAAATCTTTTAAAAAAAGAATATTTTATCTTAATAATTATAGTACTCTCTCCACCCCCATCTACATCACCTCTCAAATGTGAGATTAGAATCGATTTTCTCAGAATTATGCATTTTAAGAAGATGTTTCATAAATGGTCGCTCTCGCAGGAGAGCCCAAGTATTGCTGGAGAGGTTAGACAGAGGGAGCACTTCCCCTAGAATGGTGTGTGGTCTCTAGAGGGGTCCTTGAGTATTTTCATAATAATACTAAGATGTTATTTGCCCTTTTATCTGTGTTCATATTTCTACTGATGATGCAAAAGCAATGGGAATAAAATGCTGACACCTTAGCAGCTCGAATCAAGGCAATGGCACCAAAATGTATTAGTAGTCGTTCTCCACCACCATGCACTTAGAGGGAGAAAAAAGGAAGATTCATTTAAAAGTCTCCTTGACTGAGCAGTAAAATTTACTAATTTTATTAAACCTCGACCCTTGAGGACAAGACTTTTGAATATTCTTTGTGACAAAATGGTAGGTACATAGAAAATACTTCTGGTGCATACTGACATACATCAGTTGTCTCAAAGAAAATCACCTCTGAGATTGCTTGATATGGCTGTGTTTTTCATGGAATATTATTTCTACTTGAAAGAATGACAAACTGCAGTTATGCAGAGTTGGATATTCCTCAAAAAAAGGAATAAAGTAATCCTGTACCTTCAAGGACAATAATGCATGGGATTTTTTGGCAATGACAATATTTGTACTTATAAGTGAAAATTAGAATTTTAGATAACTTGTACCCATCACTGTGAGTTTAACAGCTTCCTAATACAGGCTTTTCTGATGTGATCCATGGTGATGTTAATGAATATGACTTTTATATATTGTGTCAACATTTTGGAGGAACAGCATAACTCAGTGAACCAATATTTTCCAAATGACCAATACGTGGTGTTACAAATTCATGGTGTAGTAAAGGATCCATTCAATGTACAAGGTAGACCAATGAATTTTAGTGTAAGAGTATAAAAAGTTCATTGATATGGTTTCAGATTCGACACCATAAGTAGTATTTAAGAAATTGCCACTCATCAAGTTTTGGTGTAGTGTCAAAGAAGAATATCCACAATTATCTGAAAAGATTATTAAAATACTCTTCCCTTCCTCTAACTACATATCTATATGAAGTTTGTTTTTCTTCATGTGTGTCTTTAACGAAAGCAACATATCACAACAGACTGAATGTGGAAGCAGATATGAGAATCCAGCTCTCTTCTACTAAGCCAGACATTATAGAGATTTATAGAAATAAAACACAAGGCTACTCTTCTCACTGAAATTTTTGTTTTGAAAAACATAGTTATTTTTCATAAATAGGTGTTATCTTATATTGAGTTTATTATTGTTATTATATGTGAATTAATAAGTAAATATTTCTAAATTCTGCAGTTGTGATGCACAATATAGGGAACATCATCAATAGACATAACCCACATAAACAAAACTTCTTTGGAGCCCTTGATAACTTTTAAGAGTATGAAGGAGTCTTGATTCCAAAGGGTTTGAGAACCTCTGCCCTAGAATTTAATTAAGATGCAGTTAAAGACCTTCTCTGGGTGTTCTACTAGAGGCCTGGGGACCAAATTGTAAGTATGTTTCAACTTCTCATAAAGTGAAGCACACTTAGCTTCAGGAGCCGAGAGTTGGTTTTGTGTGCCCCAAGACTGGCTCCTCTTGACAAGCTCCCTTCCGAGACACAGAGCGGCTGTATCAGACAGGGTTTTCCAGAGTAACAGAATCAATAGGATATATATAAGTATATAGAAGAGGAGATTTATTATAGGAATTATAGGAATCAGTTCATATGGTTATGGAGGCCAAGAAATCCCATGATCCTGCTGTTTGCAAGATAAAAACCAGGAAAGACCA